ATCCATATGAAACAGAACTGTAAGCAGGTTTCTTTTTCTTTATGGATATTTTACAAATCACTCCTTTCAAACTGTATTGTTGTTTATTAATAACAACTTTTTTTACTGTCATATAGTATTTTATACCTGTTTACCTTATTCTCTTATTTTTTTATAATAACTATAATGATCATATAAAGATGTGCCTTTACCTCGCTTGGAGAAAAAGCTTCTTATATTCGTTAGCATAGCTAGCTAACCAGATGCTAATAACAACAAAGTTATTGACTGTATGATCAGTATGACAGATGAACAGATCGCCACTGGGCTTTCAACTAAAGACACAGCCACGCAGAAACTTCGGCATGTGTACAGCAATTTTTGGAAGTGCCGGAGCGGCGTTATGGTGCTCTCCGTCAGAACTGTACCCCTGTCAGATGTCAGACGAGACGTATACCACATGATGACACGTTAGGCTCGTGTTGTGTTCAAGGACTCTGACCTTGGCCAGGAAAAAACAGGCACTCGCTTTTTAATTTTTTTGCGGTCTAGATTTCTTTAATTTTTTTCTTTTTTGCGTGTGTTTATAAATTACCTCGAGGGCCGTACCAAATTGTCTCGCGGGCCGTAGGTTCCCCACCGCTGCTCTACTGGGACATGTCTCCATGCTTTAATGTTCAAAAACCTCCTTATTTATTTCTCATACTGCCTGTGCTGCAGCACCTCTTTTCACCCTCTGTCTGAAACCAGAGCCCAGTCTGCTCTGATTGGTTAGCTGGCCGGGTCTGTTAGGATTGATCAACCTTGTAGAGATGTGTTGGAAATGTCCCGCCCCTTAGCGTACAATGTGCTAAAGTGCTAGCCAATAGAAGCGCAAGTCTAACATAGTGATGTCATGATGTTACAGAAGTAAACAAAAGAGTCCAATTGAGGAGTTTCTCACGGGGGAGAGGGGACTTTGTGATTCTTGCCGTTCCTAACCATTTACATGCATTATAACACACTAAAGGGGGGGAAAAAGGGTCTCTTTAAGTTACACTTTTTTATTAAAAAAAGGGTTGGTTTTCCTGGACAATCATTGGGTAAAGTGCAGGCCATGCCTTTAGGATTTCCTGAGGGGACTGATTAAACATCTCTACAGGGATAGGCTGGCTAAATTCCCAATCCCAATGTCTCAGTTATATGTCCAGGAGCTCAAATCTATGGCTTTTTCAAAGAACTGAAAATGAAATGACTATTCAGTTCTCTATAAAAAAACATCATCATAATGGGATCATGCATAATATATACCCAAACAGGTTGGTTTTCTAATACTGTGTTCCCTAAACCAGGAAAACAAGCCAATCAGCACCAGCATATTGCAGCTGTCCGTCATCGATCAGGACTCCTCCCACAATGGCCCACCTTTCGACTTCCGCATCCTGTCAGGAAACGAAGGCGGGGAGTTCGTGCTGGAGAAAGATGGAACGCTGTTGGCCAATCAAGTGTTCAGGAGGGACCTGGCAACGGAATACTCTATTCTGATTCAGGTGGAGACAAACTGCTGTTTAATGGTGGATTTAGAATAAGAGGATAGCTTTTTAGCCTCTCAAATACAGTGTAGTCACTAACCAAACAGCTGTGTTTCACCTACAGTATAAGCATTGAAATAATAGACACACTGGTCCATTGGTTTAGAGGAAGACTTCAGTCATGGCTGGTTGAGGAGCTTCTTCAGACCTTCTTTATAATAGTAGTAATAACTTAAATAATCTACTCAAGCAATATCAAAATATATGCTGCATTAAATTAAATTATTATTAAATTGACTGCGCAGTTAACAGAGTACATTTAACTTGTCAACCCGCCTCTGCAAATGAGTGCTGTGATCTGCGTTAATGCACTTCCTAACTTTGTGAATGTGATGAGACGCACTGTCTCACAGCAAGAGCTTTCGAATCCTGCGTTGGATCTTTATTTAAGTTCTCCGGAGTCCAAAGACATGCAGATTAGGTTTATTGCTGTCTCTTGTAGGTGTGAATGTGAGTGTGACAGATTGTCTCTATGTGTAAACTGATTGTTTAGTGACCTGTCCAGCAGTGGCCTCTTGCCCAATAGAGTGCCACAGTGATGCGTCCTAAAACCCGGAAGTAAGCTTCGCATGGGTTCCTTCGACAAAAAAGCAATGCAATTTCTCCATAGGATTTTGGAAAATAGCTCGAAATAAGGTCTGTGGTTGACACACATTTAAGAGACGAATCACGTTTTGTTCAGTTGGATAATCTACACATGTCTACCCTACCTTTATAATTTTCTAATCATAAATCTAATCGATAGATTTATGATCGATAGTATTGGCTGCTTGTAAAGAATAAGTGGTTACATGCAGTATATCAATGTGCAGAATGTAGAGAAAATATGTCAACAAATACAGTAGACATGTTACCAAGACATTGTACTGTTTTTGATTCATTTCCTTATCTAATTTTATTTTCTGTCCCTGGTTGTCCCTCCTCTCAGGTGACGGACTCGGGGAAGCCCCGCCTCTCCTCCTCCTCCATGCTGACGGTCAGAGTGATTGAGGAGAGTCTTCACCGGCCAGTTGCGTTGCCCCTGGAAGTTCATATCGTCACTATGGAGGACGAGTTTCCTGGCGGTGTGATTGGCCAGCTGCACGCCACCGACGCTGACCCTTACGATGCGCTGACCTTTGGCCACGCTCCCCCAGCCCAGCGCAGTCTCTTCAAGATCAGTCCTCGTGACGGCAAGATCATCGCCCTGGGGGGCTTGGATGCAGGCAGGTATTCCCTCAATGCCAGCGTTAGTGACGGCCGCTTCGCTGTGCCTGTGCCCGTGAGCGTGCACGTGGAGCAGGCGACACCAGAGATGCTGCGTGAGGCGGTGACCGTGCGCTTTGAGAGTGTTTCACCACAGGACTTTGTGGCGCTACACCTGAAGAGCGTGCTGAAGGTTCTGCAGCAGGCCGCCGCCTCGCAGCAGCAGGACAAGCTGCACCTGCTCAGCCTGCAGCCTGTTGGGGGGACCCAACAACTGGACATGCTTATTGCTGTGGAAACAGCAGCAGGGGGGTACTACAAGGCAGCTTACCTCACCCAGAAACTCAGTGCCTCACGTCGGCAGCTGGAGGAGGTCCTCAGAGTGTCGGCTATCCTGGATAAGAACTGCTCGGGCCTGGAGTGTCGCGGCGCGCAGTGCGAACAGACCATCATCCTGGACTCACACAACCTGGCTACATACAGCACACCGCGGGTCAGCTTCGTTTCACCACGCTTCCATCGGACCTCACGCTGCACCTGCAATGGTAAGTGATTTAATGTGGAAATTAGGCTTGGGCCTTTTTTTTCATACCGTCATACCTTGCTGACATCATTCCGTGGTATACGGTATATGACGGTATGACTTTGGTCGACTTGAGCGAGGTGGCGTTCGGCGGCAAATAGATGTTTCGAACGGTATATTATATGTTCGGTGAAAAATGCAGCCCGAGCCGGTAGACGCTCGCAAAGTGCCGCGACGTGCGCGCAAGTGCAAAACAAGGGCTGCATACATGACACATTGTGCAAATGGCACATTTTGAGATCGGATACAGGACGCGTTTGTAGATGTCCGACGTTGTTTCAATTGTGAGCTAAGTTAACAATATATCATCATACATAAACATTTTCCGGGAGTAAATACTTGACTTATTGAATAAAGTTTGCTATATTCACTAACTAGTTTGGCAATATTATTCCGTGCATGTGTTAAAAACCTTATTTCCATTTGATTCATTGGATTACTCGCGTGAATGTTTAGCACGTAAATGCTTTCGTTTTTAAAACCGTCCGACCTCGACTACAAAACCATCAACCAGTTGCATAGGATTAAAACATTTCAACACTCACTCACCCCGTCTTAAACATTCCCAAAGAAGTGCCTCTGTCTCTCGTTGTGCTGGATGAAGTCACTGGCGACGAGTAAACCCAAAATAGTCCCAAACAGGCGCAGA